CAATTATTAATAATTTACACTGTGCCAGGTATTCAGAAAGAGCTGAAAGGTTACTATATAATGCCCATTCTTTCAATTATTCAGTTATTGTAGCATATATGCTGACATCTGGAATTACTCTTTTATTATTTTTTTGTTCTATTCATCTACTCTGTTCATCATTCACCTCAAAAATAATCCTCAAAATTTAGGGACTAAACTCTTATACAGACTTTCCTGTTTAACATCCAAATTCTATTCCTATAACTAGGTAGTTAGCTGATTTGATTCCTAAATAAGGAATTGTATATAGTATGTACATGATAATATTCAGAATAAAGAAATGGTCAAAGGAAGTTCCAACTTGACAACTTTTCTTTTATTTGCACGACTCTTAGATGAAGTACTGTAAAATGTATAAAAGAACATAACACTATAGTCCTACACTATACAATACAATCAGCATAAATCACAGTATTGTATAAACAAAATATATTGTTAAAAAAAGATAATGGGGCTCTATAAACAAGATGTTAAAAACTGTATAAAAATAATTAAAAAGAAGTTACAAGTCACAGTGGTGGTTTGTAAGTCAAAACAGTTTTTAAACAGGCCATTAAATGAGGAATATCTGTATCTGAATCTTAAAACATCTACTAAATTTCAGTTATGAATTGAGTGAGTAAATAGAGGAACATAGTTGTATTTTTTACTATATTTCAATGCAAATGGAAAACATAATCTGATCTTTTGAATCTGTTTTAGGATTTAACCAAAAGTTGGTGGAATGAAGGTTGGCCCAAATTTCTTCTTTCAGCATAATATCTGGTCTCGGTATTGAGAGTTATATAGTTGTAAAGTTAGTATAAATATTAGCACATTCTTAGGGCTGGGGACTTAGCTCAGTGATTCCACAGTATGCCTCACAAGTGCAAGGGCCTGAGTTCAATCCCCAGTACAAAAAAAAAAAATAAGATTAACACATTCTTAAAATTACATTACAATAATCATTTCTTTAATGTTGAAAAGTGTTTAGTACATTCCAGATATTGAACTGATTTGCAAAATTATTTATCTAAACCCTCAGATACATATACATAGTTAAAGAAACATACTCTATCACAAAGCTCTTAGAAGTAAAAGCTTAGAAGAAAATGAAAATGCAAACCAATAACAAAAATAATATTTGTGTATAAATTTAATGAGAAAGCAGCTATGTCAGAATTTGAGTCTCATCAATCTGAATTCAAATTCTGTCTTCCTACTGCTTGAGCTTTATCCCTATCGTGATAGTCATAGGAGTTCATGTAGAAATTCAAATTCTACATCTAGAAAGTCAATTTGTTATTCAGGATTTACAATTCTGAAAGAAACTGTAGCTTAAAATTTCTCTATTCAACAATCCAGTTGTACCTTTGAAAAGAAGAAAAAAAGAGGAAATGAAGAACTAGAGAGGGTGATCTTTCAAATTTTTTGCCTATATGAGTGTATTCATCAGGATTCTTTTGCTTACAAGTGATGAAACTCCAACAGAAGCTTACTTAAGCAGATGATGATGATTTTTTTAGTTTTTCAAGTAATTTGGCTAGTTCAGGCAATGTTGAATTTAGGTACTCAAATGATGATGAGAGGAAGCTGACTTTGCCTATCTTGATTCTGCTTTTATTGGCGTTTATTCTAGGGGGGACTTTTTCATGTAATGGTAACAAATTGTTATGAGCAACTTATTTCAGACTCCTATTCCATAATCGTGAAACTGAAACAAAATATCATAATAGTGGGGAGTGAGGTTCAATGCAGAGGAAGACTATCAGTTGGAGGGAACACTATCCATCATAAAGATCCATGTGTTTACCAAAGAGGATATATCTATATCTATATATAAGTCTTTCTATTATGTATGTAAGGATATATATATATATATATATTTGGAAGATTTATTTAATTCCTTCCTCTATAAATTAAATATGGAAGTTTGAATCTCTCCTCATAGGTTTCATTAAAAATGCATAACATAGATGATATTTTTTCCTCTAGCAAATTTATTTTCCTTCAAGCACATTTTTCTTCAATTAGCCAATATTACATTACAGAAATCTAGAGAGAGGTTCTAAATCCTTGCCTTATCACACCAAAATTCCTCTTTTTAACAGTACTCTTTTGTCTTAGGTGGGTATCTTTCAATACCAGATCCTCTGTACATATTTCCCTCAGCCACCTCTTAGGTTTATGGGTATCCTAGATGAAACATAGAGACTTTTCAAAAAAGAATTCCAGTTATAGAGAATGAACTGATGGCATTTAGTTTAAGTTTCTAATATCCACAGTAGCTGAAAGCCCAGTACTTCAGCAAGTGAACCGATTTGGAATACTAATTCTGAGGTATATGATATTCTTCTCTCAGATACGAGTTAACAGGAATTAACTGCATTTTAATCTAGCACACTTTAGAGAGGAAGAACTGAGCTACTTTTCTCCCAGTGTGATGCAATGAGAAAGTTATTAAATTGGTAATGGGAAAAGCTTGCATTATACAAATATAAAAGATCTAGATGACTAAATTACATTTATGTAATAAATATTAAAGAAGAGACATTTCTTTTAATAAAAAAACTTATACCCCAAGATATGTTATTTTCTTGATTTCGGAAAGTCACATCATGTGGTAGTCTGAAAAAACAAAATAGACTTTGTAGGAAAGATATTTTACTTCATTTTCATACAAACCTGTTTTTTGAAAAGCTTATCAAGCAAAGTTTTCCCTTGCTATACAAGGTAATGTTCTGTCTTTGAGAAAATTAAAAGGAGAAAGGTAATAAGGGAAAGAAAAAATAGGAGAAAATGAAAAAATGGAAATAAAGTGTTTGTAAATGAGGAGGGGAGGAGGGGGTGAAGGGAGGGCAGGGACAAGGGGAAAAAATGAGAACCAAGACCTGCCATGTAAAAGCACAAGATCCCAATAATGAATGCAACTGTACTGTATACCTAAAATGTACCAATAAACTCAATAAGAAAAAAAGGCAAGAAAATAAATGCTACATGTGGTCAACACTCCAAAATTAACAAACTATTAGCTTTTCTGTTTCTGAACTGCGTCTCTTATCTCAAACTATCCAGTAGATGAAAAGTATATTTTCCAAGTAAGAGAGAATGGACAAACATCATTTTCTTTCCCTTAATGGTTGAAGAAAGAAATAAATGTCTATTGAAATGTGACAAAGAAAACTTCCAGAGCTGTCTGTTTTCCAAACCAAATGCCTTGTACACAGGAATTAGCTTTTCACTATGAATTTCAGTTTGGCTTTCTAGAATACAGGGAATGCCTTTCCCAGCTCTACGTGGTGACCAGTGGACAAATACTTATTGAACTGCATGTTTCAACAGCATGCAAACAAATCATTTGCCCCGATATGCAAGATGACTAAAGCACTTAAAGTTATAACCATTTGCCTGAAGATGTCCTCACTATTGTCAAATACTCTACCAACAACATGACTGACTGCCAGCATCACATGGAAACCTTGCCAGGGAATACTTGTAGTCAAATAGATAAAATCGAAATTTTACACAAATCTTTTACTCTTCAACTTCGATATGAAGATTTTATTAATTAATTCAAGTCTTTTCTGATTTCAAGTGGAATTGGATTGCCTTGAAATGCCTTTTGAGCAAATGTGTCAGAGAACAGGAAAACCTTTCTGGAAATGTGAAAATATCATTAATTAAGATGCAGCCTGCATGAGTTAGGAGCACTTGATTTCTTATTTCTGATAAAAAGTGAGTGATCAAATCTCATTCATATCTCACATCTCACATCTTCATTTAAGCATGCTCCTTGGAAATGAAAATGCCTCTTCCTGACACAGAAAACATCTTTACCCATTTAAGGAAAAGTGAAATTCAAACCAGGAAGATATATCCCTGAAGAGACTGGAATCAATTATTGAATAGCAACATTTTGAGTTGTGCACATTCTTGGAAGTAAAAGGCTTGTTGTTGCACTGCTGGTGGCCCTGGGGTCCTTAGGCTGTGTTTGTTAAGTTCTGTGACTAAGAAGAGGCTATGTATGGGAGCATTCAGCTCCAGCAGAAATAGAGTTTAAGGCTCAGGTTTGCTCTTATTTTTGGCAATGGTATCTGAAATTCTCCTGCCTAGGTTTCCTGAGCTCTCTATAAAGTGAAAGACTACAGTTGATACAACCCCCCACCAAGACTGCGACCCTATTTGCAAAGAAAACCACCCAAGAAAGAGTGTACTTTCCATTTCTCCAGCACCCTCACTGGAGAGAAAAAGATCTAGATACCATTATCTGGATCTGATCAAATAATATTTGCACTTCTTGTTAGAAAAGTGGCCCTACATAGGCAATCATTTCTTATGTCTTTGAGTTTTACAGTTTAATATGAAATAGTACTCTTGCGTCTGCCTTTGCTCCTCTCTCCTCCAGCCTATTTGGAGCCCCTTTCCAACCAACCCCCAATGGCTCCTCCCAGTCAGACTCTGAAGTGTCATTCACAGTGCTTTTTTATGCTTTCAACAGTTTCCAAAGCAAACAGTGGAGGACTGTGAAAGGCTGGGTATTTGCTCAGTGGGATGCAACAGTATCTCTCCATCAGATCTGCTGGAGCTTCCACTGGCAGCAGGTCTGCTCTCTAAAAGGCCAGCATTTGCCAATCTGCACTCAGCCAGGTCCTGGAATTAGGGATTTGAGGACTGATGATCAGCACATGTCCACTGTGAGAGCAGAGACAGCAAAAAGAAAGAACACTAGACGGGGGGATTTAGATGCCACTTTAATCTTTTTACTGTTTCATTTTGTCTATTTTTTTAAAATTGTGTATATACATTTTTTCACAAAGTTTTTGTTGTTTTTTTTTTTTTTTTTTTTTTTTTTGCTTTTCTGATTTGAGTACAGATCCAAAAATTGTTATTTCGGATTTGGGAATTTTTCTGTCTAATCCTCTCCTATCATGTACGCCCTCCCTTTTTCTGCCTCCCCTCCCAAGCAAGCTCAGGTTGAAACTTTGCTGAGCTCATTCACTTCAGCCTCTCCAGGGATGGCTCTAAGCTCTCGAGCTCACGCTTTCTCTGTGGAAGCCTTGGTGGGGAAACCCAGTAAAAGAAAATCACACGACCCCAGGGAAGAGTTGCCGAGTGAGCTGCAGGAGAAAGATAGCAGAGAGCAAAAGGAAGCCGGAAGAAACAGCGCTGTAGGGAAGACACAGCAGCCGGGTGAGTATTCCCAGCCAAACCCTTTTTTCAGTCCTCCTTTCAACCTCTCACACTTACTAGGTCAATTCACATTTCTCATCCTGGCTCACCTCACTGTGAGAGAGTGGCTAGCCCTACCCAATGATGTCCTGGACCAGCCTTACAGCCAAGTTGCTAGCTGCGGGACACTTCTACCATCTAGCTTTACGGAGAGTTTCAGTTTCTAAATAGTCGCGAGTACTATGGTTCCTTTGTAGTGAATCTGAGGGTCTCTCATATTTGTGGAGAAGTGAATCTCAAAGAGCCCCTACATAGTTCAGTGAGCCAAACCAGAGGGTAGCTGTTTCTCAGGGTAGCAAGCAGGATGTGCTCCCAAATTCCAGGGGGACACAGCCTTAGACAGGAATGTCTCCTGGAGTGTCGATAAGCATATCTATAGGGACGTGCTCTCTTCATTAAGGAATTGCAGAGAGTGTTTTGGGGAGCTTGTGAATCCACCATTAGGGAAGAGAAGGGACGAGACCTGCCTGCTCTAACTTAGGCAATGCCACAAAGGCATGCACAACCTGAAAAGCTGTCTCAAACCCTGGGCATCTCTGTGTCCAGCAGAAAAGCAACCCAAGACAGAGTCTTCAACGACTGCTTTCTCAGGCTGTGGTGGAGGCATCAGCAGCTGCAGCAATGGCGACAGCCAGAAAAATTTGGAAGAGGACGATGTTATCCAAATGGAACTTCAGGGATCTGAGCTGTGGAAGAGATTCTATGACATCGGGACTGAGATGATCATTACCAAGGCCGGCAGGTTTGGCCCTGCTCAAGCTTTTCATGAATCACTTATGACACAGTAGCATCGTAGTGTATCATTCTTATATGTGGAGACTCCAGTTTTGTGCTCTATTACTCCCTCTTGCTACTACTTGATACACATTAGAAAGCCACAAGCTATGCAATTTATTGAGCTAGGACACACTTAGCCCTATGTAAACAGGTTATTATTCCTTTTCTGCACATCTTGACTCCAAGAATTCAATGTCCAGGTTCTGCCTGTTATATGTGACAAAAGTCAGACCTGCCTAGGTACATGTGCTATCTTCATGTCATGGACTGAGGCCGGAATTCTGAATTTAAGTCTCGCAGATAACATAGGAGAATATTCCATTCCACAGGCCCTCAGCCCACCAAATCTGGCTAAGGTCACTATGAAGTGAGACTTTCCCATGGCTGCCATCTGGTATGAGGCAACCTTTTTGTGACAACTGAGTGATTTTTTTTTTAATCGATCTTCCTATTTTCCAGCCTTTCTCCACTCTGCCCACAGACCTTACAGCTGAAACTTAGGGCAAGGCACAGAATCTTTTCTTTCTTACTTTCTCTTTTATAACTTTTTATTATGGGGTGTACAGAGAGAAGTTATGAGCAAAGCTTTGTGTTAAGGATATTATGCTTCACTCAGAAATCCTGTAATTTTCAATCAGCCATATAATAAACCGTCTTTCCTCACTTAGCAAATGTCATTCCCTGAGCCTGTTATGAAGTAAGAAGGGTTCTGTCAGTCCTTTTACCTTTTACTGACATAAGCATTTTTCCATATCCCCTTCTAAACATCTCTAAAATTTCCCAGACCAGTCCCTATTTTCTTTCCCACAGGCGAATGTTCCCTTCTGTACGGGTCAAGGTGCAAGGGCTGGACCCAGGGAAGCAGTACTACGTGGCTATTGATGTGGTACCAGTGGATTCCAAACGATATAGGTAACTGGACTCATGTGAGACCACCCCACACTCAGCATTTTACCTTCAGATTTATAACTTTGCAGCATAACTTTTAAAACTGCAGCATATAGAGAGAAAGGTTGTCTTTCCTTGAGCTTGGGAGTTAAACTTTGTAGCAGGTTTGTTCCTCTCCTGCTTCCTGGAATATGTGTGCCAATTGATAATTTAATGTACACCTAGACTTCTAGCCTAAGCACTGCTCTGGCATTGTTTATGCAAACTTTGGAAGGTATAGGCTCTGGTGACTAGGAGGGAAGAAGTGTGAAGGAATTTGCGGAGAAATGCCCTAGGCTTTACGTGGGTCAGAGGATTCAGTAGAATTTGGGGTGTGCTTTTTGGTAACAGTTACCCAAAATGATGCCCTAGTTTGTCCCAAAGGTAGTAGAGATAACATTGTGCCTTGGTTCATACTTTGTGCTTTCTTTAGCCATTTGCCTGAAGTGGTGGTTAGGTCTCAGAGGGCATTTACCCTATTTACCCTTTTCTCTTTAAGCCTTCTACTAAGAGCAAGCTGAAAGTGGCTGAACTGTTTAAATATAATTGCAATTTCTGAGCTAGCAGCCTAGAAACACTGTCAGAGAGTTAGAGGGTAGGGCACTGTGAGAGTAGCCTTTACTACAATTTGAGCATTTAATCTAGAGGTGGACATGGTGACTGATCCCCCAGGAAAGAGCCTGCCTGGAGAACAGTGCAAGGCAAGAAAAAAGCATGCCTCAACAGACTGCTATAACTATGGCCTCAAAACAGCAGAATAAATTGTTTGATTTTCTGTGTTGCAGGTGATTTGAGAGCACAGAGCACAAATACAAATTTTGATAAAGAATATATATATATAT